CTCAACCTCGCCCAGGTCGCGGCCTACACGTGCGAAAATGCATGCCGTCCAGCTGGAGGCTGACGAGGTACCGTGCAAGAAAAGTATCAGGATAGCGCACCACGTATGAGCCAGAAGGAATGAACACTAAACTCCAGACACCACGCGCGTTGTGTAACCTGCCTAGGTTGCATCTTATTGTCGCTCGAGCGCCAACATGTGATGCACAAGCATCTGACCAGATCACCGCCATACGCCAAACAGGAGATGTGCCCCTTCACCAGAGATGGGTTCCACAACCCCAGGGCAGGAGGAGCATGAAGGGGCGCCCGATGAAGAGCCAGACTGTGGCACCTGTGGGCGTGCCCCAAGCCGACCTGCTGGCAGAGGCAGGTGATGTGCGTGCCTGCAGGATCCCAGGTGCGCAGTGGTTGCCTCGTCGTCTCGAGGAGGATGAACATGGAGGATGCGGCTGAGGCTTTCCCGCGACCACAACTCGGCGAGCGACCCGCGACGGCGTCGCGTGCCAGGACGACCAGGCCTTACAAATCCGAGCCGAGGCAGCGTGGTCTCCGAGAGCGACGGGCCAACGCCGCGACCTGCTCCCCCCTTGCTCCCGCTCCCGCTCGCACGACTAGCGGTCTGCGCAGTTCGCCTCGGACCCGAAAAGTACCAACCAAGCAGACGACGGCGCCCACCGCGCCGCCCACGCGCCCCCACGCCACTCGCGCCCCCGCCAGCGCCGGGCCGCAGCCCAAGGGAGAGCAGACCCGCGCCCGCCGCGGGGGAGCGGACCACCCCCCTCTCCCCCTGCTCCTGCTCCTGCCTCTGCCGCTGCCGCTGCTCTCTCTCTCTCTCTCTGAAGGGGAGCTGGGACACACAAATAAATACACACAAATAAAAACATTCCCCATATTTTCCCATATTTTCCTGGTTTTTGTCTTCCCCTCTACTTCCCATATTTTCCTATATTTTCTGGGAATCGCCGATTAATTGTGTCTGTGTGTTTTTTCCCCTCCTGACTCTCTCTCTCTCCGCGCCCTCCTCGTCGTCGCCGCCCCCCCCCGCTGCGCGCCGGGCCGGGTCGCCGAGGCCCGGAAGCGGCGACGCGCCCCTGCCAGGGCAACACAGCGATGCGGGCGGGCGCCGCACCCCCGCGGCGGGAGGGCCCCCCTGCAGTGCTGGGCGGGCCGCCCCCCGGCGGATCGGAGACCGTCCCCCCCTCCCTCGGGTTCGTTGTTCCTCCCTCGCGCGCGCCCCGTCCCCTGCGGACTGTGCCCGGACGTGGCTCGGGCGTGAAGATCGGATCGTGGTGCCCCGCCCCTCCCATCCTGAGTGCCCCGCCCCTCCCCGACTCCGAAAGTGGCCCAGGTGGGGCACACCTACGTCGACACACACACACACACACACACACACACACACACACACACACACACACACACACTCTCACGTACACAAATCCAAGGATGTCCCATGATTTGCTCGTATTTCCCGCTCCCCCCTCAATTTGTTGTATTTTCGACACTGCCATCACAGTCCAGCGTGTATTTGTTATATGTTGTGTGCTGTGCAGATTTGTCTTCCTGACTTATGGGCGGTCTCCCTCCCACGTCCTCCCTGTCCTTCCAGCCCCGGCTGGGACCTGCATCAGCTCGCGCTCGTTGGCCACCCACGCCGCGTGCGAGTTCTGCTCGTCGCTGGCCTTCTCCACCGGCGGCCCAGGAGCGCAGCGGAAGGAGGAGAACGAGAGCTCAATCAGATTCCTGCTCCTCCTCGTCCTCCTGTTTATGATCCTCCTTCTCGTCCAGCGCTTCGCCTCCCACTGGTCCTCCCAATCGTCCTCCTCTTCCCATCTCGTGTTCCTGGCTCAGCTCACCTCGGATCAAGGGGATCCGAAAACCGAGGCACGAGATCGTCTGCCAGGAAATGAGCACCCACCAAAAGCCGCCCCACGGGCACCGACACTCAGACACAACACACACACACGTGCTTGGCGCTGCGCGCCCGAAAGGAGGGGAGCGAAAAGGCCCGCCGCGCGGGCCGCCCGGCTCAGTCCTCCTCGTGAGAGTACGTATTCTGGTTTTTGAGATGCCGGCCAATTTACATGCATGGCGTTTCCCCTGGCCTCCTCGTCCTCCTCGTCCTCCTCGTCCTCCCCGTCCTCCTCGTCCTCCTCGTCCTCTTCGTCCTCCTCGTCCTCCTCGTCCTCCTCGTCCTCCTCGTCCACCTCGTCCTCCTCGGCCTCCTCGTCCTCCTCCTCGTCCTCCTCCTCCGCCTCCTCCTCCTCCTCCTCCTCCTCCTCCTCCTCCTCCTCCTCTCTCTCTCTCTCTTCCTCCTCCTCCTCCTCCTCCTCCTCCCTCCTCCTCCTCCTCCTCCTCCTCCTCCTCCTCCTCCTCCTCCTCCTCCTCCTCCTCCTCCTCCTCCTCCTCCTCCTCCCTCCTCCTCCCCCCCTCCGCCGCACTCTCTAACGGCGCCGGGCACACAGGGCAGGCAGGTGCGGCCCGACGCGCGCGAGTGAGGTGCAGATCTCCTTTCGGGCCTCGCCGCGCTCCACCCCCCCCTCCCCCTCCGTGCAGATCCACGTGGCAGAAACTGCAGAACCACAGGCTCCTCTCCCCCCCCCGCCCCCACCTCATGGACTCTCCGAGGGCCTGGAGGGCGTGCGGGCCTGCGCGGCCGACGGAGCCCCCTGCCCCCCTGGGGCACTCTCCTCGCGCCGCCGCACGCTGACAACGACGGGTCTCGCCCTCCTCCCTCGCCGCGCGCTCCCGCTCTTCGACCTTCTTCGAGGGCCCAGGCCCGCCATCGGCTACACGCAAGAGTGACCCTGGGTACGAGCGACCTTTGGTGCGCAGCTTTTTGGGGGCCGCGGGGAGACCAAACCTGGGCGCGCAAGCCGCTGCTACCGCCTCGTTTTCAGCCACCTGAGGGCCCATCCGTGCCCGCACCAAAGGTCACTCCGGCGAAAAGTCACTCGTACGTCTAGTCGACGCCAGGAGGCCGGGCCGAGGCGCCCAGGGCATCGACGCTGCCGCCTCAGGGCCGCCGGGGGGGGGCGCGGGGCGAGGTGCTCGGCCGCTGCCGCCGCCGCGCCCGCGGCGGCCTCACGGGCACCCGCGGGGCGACCGCGCGGGCCTGCGAGGGCCCCCCGGGGACGGCGCGGTGGCCGCACCGCGGCGGCCTCGCGCGCCGTCGGGGGGCGGCCGCACAGTCTCGCGGGCCTACAAAAGAAAGCTCGGCGAGGCCTCGGGCGGCACTCGGGGCGTCCTCCCGGGCCGCCCCGCGGGCCACTCGGGCCCGCGAGGCCCGAAAGAGGCGGCGCGGGGACCAGCCGTGCGGTGAGGTCCTGCGGGTGCGGCCGAGGCCACCGCACGGCCTGCCGCCGAAGCTTCCTGGGACCCCCCCCCGACCCGCGAGGAGGCGGCGAGGGCCCCTTCCCTGTCCTGGCCCCTGGCCCTCCGCCTCCGAGAGCTGCGGGCCACTGCTCGGGCCACCGGCGGCCGCTCGGGAGCGCACGCTCTCGGCGATGCGCGCAGCTGCCGGGGAGCATCCCGAGGCGGGAGGTGCACGAAGAGGTCCGCAAGCCAACGAGCGCGTGCCAGGCGAAAAGCGTACGAGAAACCGAAAGCCTGTCGGGAGAACCACCGACAATGTACCAACCACCGAGGGACTGCCATGAACCGACGAAAGTATACGAAAACCTCCCCCCTCATGAGCCTATCCCCCCCCCCGCCGTTGCCCCTCACTTGCCCCTGGCCGTCAAGAACCCATGAAAACGTCCGAAAGCCTGGAACCTCTAGCCTCCACGGCCATCGGGACATCATAACTCTAGTCTTAGGTCGGGCATGTCCTCCTACAGGCGGATTTTGGAAGAATCATAAAACAGAGTCAACACATATTCAAAAAGACTCCAAAAAGCACAGAAATCGTCAACATACTATTTGCAGCTACTCTTGAATATTCCTCCTGTACGGGGATATGCCCGGCTAAACTCTAGCCGTTACCCCCTCCCCCACGGTTTTCCGGTCACTACAACTCTAGTCTCTGGCTGCCGTTTAGGACGGTCCTGGCCGCCCCCCTCCCAACGAAGGCACAACTGATGGGAAACCACTCCAAGTTTCGGCGTCTTCAAAAATCCCCGGAAAACGTTCGAACCCAACCCCCCTCCTCCTTCCCCTGACTTCCCCCTCTCTTGTTCGCGGCTCGGGTCTACGGCGGCAGTTCGGAACGATCCGGGCACCTCGGACCCCTCGGCGAGGCTCAGCTGCTGAAGCGCACCCCGAGGCAGAAAAACCCTCAGGACACCTGCGAAGAGATCAAAGAACCCCGACGCTGCCTTTGATCTTCCCCCGCTCCCTCTCCTCCTCCGCTGAGGGGCAACGTTGGGGGTGGACCAGCTCAGGGGGGGAAAACTCGATCTGGAATCCGCTGTACATCCCCGATAGATCGTGGGTGGGCCCCCGAAAGTCGGGAGCGGCCAAGAGGGGGTGTCCAAGAGGGGGGGGGGTGCAGATCATGACTGGCGGCATGTGCGCGGCCCGGCGGAGGGGCCAGGGACGCAATGAAATAAGAAGGAGCGCTATGAAATCTGGGGAAATATCATGGCCACCGCCATGACATCCACCCCCCCGACATCCACCCCCCCCCTAGTCATCACCCCCCTCTTTTCCGCCCCCGAGATAGCGAATCCAGTCGCTCATGAGCAGGGCGGGATCTCGGGCCCCCATCGGCGACGAATGGGCGATTGGGGTTCGACCCGTCCCACCCTGAGCTTATCCCCCCCCCCAATGTTCGAGGATCTTCGGACCCGGGTCAATCCAGACCCGGGTCTGCAAAAAAAACAAAAAAAACTGCACTGCAAGAACAAAACAACTGCAACGCAAAACATCGCAAACCCGGGTCAGCCAATATGCGCGGCCGCCGCGCGGCCACGAGCGGCTCGCTAACCCGGGTCAGCCAGAGGGGGTCTTCGCAGGATCCTGCAGGATCCGGTGCCCTTGCTGACCCCCGTTTGCACTGATCCCCGTCTCGAGGCTCCCGAAGTGTTGCCCCTCCTCCGCCCCCGGGCGTCGAGGAGGCGGGGACGGCTCCCCCCCCCCCGCCGCCTCGCTGGCCTGCAGCTCCTGCACCTGTTGACTCAGAGACCGCGCCTCCTGCGCGGGGCGGGGGTCCTGCTCCTCTTTTTCCTCCTCCTCCTCCTCCTCCTCCTCTTCCTCCTCCTCCTCCTCCTCCTCCTCCTCCTCCTCCTCCTCCTCCTCCTCCTCCTCCTCCTCCTCCTCATCATCATCATCATCATCATCATCATCATCATCATCATCATCATCATCATCATATCATCATCATCATCATCATCATCATCATCATCATCATCATCATCATCATCATCATCATCATCATCATCATCCTTATCATCCTCATCATCATCATTACCACCACCATCACCACCACCATCACCATCACCAGCATCATCATCATCATCATCATCATCATCATCATCACCACCACCACCATCACCATCACCATCATCATCATCGTCAGTATCATCATCAACATCACCGTCACAAGAATCATTATATTCATCATCATCAGCAGCATCATCAGTATCATATTCATCTTCATCAGTACCATCATCATCATCACCATCATCATCATCAATATCAGCATCATCATCATGATCATCATCATCGTTAACATCATCATGATCAGCATCAGCATCATCATACTCATATGTATATGCACCTTTAGTTCCATATTCATATTCATGTTCATGTTCATCGTCAACCTCACCATCATAATAGTCATCATGTTCGTCATCATCATCACCATCATCATCATCATCATCATCATCATCATCATCGCCCTATTCATCATATTCATCATCATCATTAGCAGCATCATCTTCATCTTCATAATCATCATCAAAATCATCACTATCAACATCATCATCATCATCATCATCATCATCATCATCATCATCATCATCATCATCATCATCATCATCATCATCATTAGCATCATCATCACCAGCACCAGCATCATCCTCACTCTCATCCTCATCCTCATCCTCATCCCCTTCCTCTTCCTCTTCCTCTTCCTCCTTCTCCTCTCCTTCGAACTCCAACTATCAGCCAGGTGAGGCCAAACATGACCCCCCTTGACATCCAATGATGACCACCCGGCCCCCGCGCCCGTCCCATCGGGGGGGAAATATGTCCATATGGCGGATTCCAGAAGCCACAACCCTAAAAAAGGGTACCATCTCTTGGGGTAACATCTTTTGCTTCCGCCGCTACCCGCCAGCCTTTTGCGGACTTGCGCTGGCGGAGCCGCCATCGGTTTGATTCCGCCGGTTTCCGCCGACCCTTCCGCCGCGTTCCGCTGAAGAGATGTCAGAGCTCCGTCGAGGTCCCTTCTGGAATGCTTCATACTCAAAGGCTGCCGAAGACCCTGAAGATCGGTCCCCTGGGCGGTCCTTCCAAATAAGTCCCCGCCTCGAACCAGGCCCACCCCCGCCGGCCCACGCCCCACGCGCTCCAGAGGCCGCCGCCGTCGTCCGTCGTCATCGTAGACGGCCCTCGGTCTGGGGTCGTCGGTGATCGGCCGACGGTCGTGGGTCATCGGGTGTCGTCGGTCGTCCCCTGCCGCCATCGACCGTCGTCGGTCGTCGGTCATCGTAGTCGTAGACGTCCGTCCGTCGTCGTCGTTGTAGCCATCTCTCGTCGCTCGTCAGTTGTCGGTCGTCGGTCGTCGGTTGCTGGTCGTTAGACGTCGTCGTCGCATTCGTCGTCGTCGTCAGTGGTCGGCGGTCAGTGGTCAATCATCGGTCGTTGGTCACGGGTCGCTGGTTGTGGGTCGTCGTCGTCGTCGTCGTCTTGGTCGTCGTCGTCCGTCGTCGTCGTGGTCGTCGTGGTCGTCTTCGTCGTCGCCGTAATGATTGTCGTCGTCGGTTTCGGTCGCTTTCGCCATCGTCGCCGTCCCCTTGCTCCTCCTCGCCCCTCGAATGTTCGCCTCGTTGCTGAAAGGCTTGCAGAATCCTCGAGGCCCCCGACTCCCGAGCACCAAATTCCCAGACGTCCATTTTTGCTCCGGGCTTCCCCGAAGCCTCCCCAGGGTGTGTCGCGTGAGCCTGCTAAGAGCGCGATTCCTCCAAGACCCCTCCAGTAGGCCAGAAATCAGCCTCCAGGAGGCCACAAGTGACCTCACAAGAGACTCCACGAGGCCTGGTAGACTGAGCCGAAGACCACTAGATAACTGCATATAGCTAGCAATCGAGCTAACGACCTGATCAGCGATAAGTTCAATGCCAAACACAAGCGATATGACCAACGAATTTGCTATCAATCGGCCAATGTAACGAGCCAATGCTCACTTCGTAACAAGCGGCCTAACTAAGGATCACACTCTACAACTCAAGAGCCAAATATCGTTCGAACTAGCACATGCTGTGTTTGCACATAAGACGGTAAAACGATCTCCCAGACGCTACGACACACCTGTAAGTATGATGACCACAGCGGTCTGATGAACATTGCAGCAGTGTGGCGATTAAGCTATACGGATACAAACGATACACTATCATGTATATCTGTAGTGTGTGTGAGTGGTGATCTAACCAACGGTCTGTCCATCTGTCGGGATAATGGTCTGACCACTGAGTCACTATCGCACTAAATGAATACCTGGCCACTACCTATCTAACCAATGATTCCACTAACCATGTATCAAACTTCTGCCCAGCGGAGGAGCACGAGGACAAGGAGCAGCAGCTGTGGAGAGGGAGGATGGGAGAGCACGGAGAGCACGAGGAGACGGATGATGCGGTGGATGAGGATGGGGAAGCAACTGGGGGAGGCAACTGGGAGGAAGGTGTCCGAGCTTTTCAACAATATGAAACGGTTCTCGAGCCAGACGTGGCCAGATTGGGCGCAGGATGGAGCCCGATCGAGCAAGACTCCACTGGAAGAGGCCCGGTTTCAGCCACTACCATAGAAGCCTCCTAGATGGGGTCGGAGTAGATGGGGTCGGAGGATCGCGCCGCATCGCCGATGCATCGGCGATGCATTGGCGATGCATCGGCGATGCATCAGGGATGCACCGGCGATGCATCGTCGACGTCGGCGATGCATCGGCGACGTCGACGTGAAGCAAATCGGCCTGCACATCGAGTCGCACCGGCGATGCATCGGCGATGCGGCGCGATCCCCCGACCCGATCTGCTCCGACCCCACCTAGGAGGCCTGGATACCAGGCGCCGACGCTGAAGCTCAAACTCCCAGGAGTTCCGGCCCGAGCAGCTGCGGCGCCGTCGGCCGCCGCCGCGCTCCTCGGAGCTGCCGTTGGCCGCGGCGGACTTGTCGCGGAGTCGCTGCGCGAGGGCCTCGGCGCGCCCGTGGGAGGGTGAGGCCCATCCTTTGAGCAGGGACCGAACGTCCCGGCATTCGTATAGTCCTACCACGAAATGTTCTCAGAACCCAAAAATGTTCCCAGAACAAAAGCAATGTTCTTAGAACGTTGACCCAATGTGTTAAGACAAGACGCTCCCAGCAAGAGATGTTCTAAGAACATTGTTTGGTAGGGTTTTAGGCGAGCCAGGACGCTTCGCCACTGCTGGAATCCTCCTCCCCGGTCCTCCACCTGCTCGTCTGACGCTGGCCTAGCTGGGATAACATCGCCGCCCAGACACTAAGCAAGACAGCTCAATGGAGCCCAGGAGGCCCCCAAGAGGCTTTCAGTAGGCTTCCTCCTCCTCCTCCTGCTTCTTGTTCTCGCTCTTCCTCCATCTCTTCCCCCCCTCCTCCTCCTCCTCCTCCTCCTCCTTCTCCTCCTCCTACTCCTCATCCTCTTCCTCTTCCTCCTCCTCCTCCTCGTCCAGCAAGCCTCCACCACGGAGAATGAGGCCATGTGTTTCGCGAAGCCTTCATACACGACTTCGGGGAACATCAACGCATCGTCTTCCGTTCTTCTCCCCTTCTCATCCTCCTCCTCTTTCTCCTCCTTCTCCTCTCCTCCCTGCCTCTCCCTCTTCCTCACCATGCACCTCCACCCACACAGACACACTGAAGTGTTCCCTGAAACCTTCATTCAACGCTCTGGGGGACATTTGGCCTCATGGCCTCATGGCCCTTCGCTCCTTCCTCCCCATCTCGTCCTCCGACTCCCCTTCTTGATCCTCTTCCCCCTCCTTCTCCTCCTCCTTCTCCTCCTCCTCCGTCTCCTCCTCGTCCACGGGTTTCCACAACGACTTGGGGAACACACAATCCAACGTCTTGGACCAGCCTGTCGCACCACGCTCACCTCCCTCTCCTCCTTCTCTCCCTCCTCATCCAGGTGTCCCCCCGCTGGTTTCCACATCGAGTGGCGGATCCAAGACTATCTTGGCCAAACTCAGGCTCAGCGTTTGGCCGTACAGGCGTGCGCACCATGGCAGGGGGAGGCGGTGACTCGCCCGTAGGCGTCGTCGATACCATGGCATCTCGCGAACAAATATGTGTTGCTTCCGCAGGCCTCCGCTGGAGGGGCAGCCATCGTTTGGCCTCTCTCCAGCCTCTCGCCGAGGGCGAGCGATCAGTCGCTCGATTCCTCGAAGGCAGCGACACCTCTGGACCTTCATGTCTGACCGTCGCGCAACTAAGTTCAAAATCCGAGAATGACCTCCCGTGCCGTGGCAACTCATGGGAGCCTCCCATGTCATCTAGCTGGCGGTTGCGAACCGAGGCTAGCCGATGCTAGCCGACGCAAGTCGACGCTAATGTACGCTGAATTGGCGCGTTCTCATCGACTACCAAGCGCTAGTGCACGCGAATGCAATCTAGAGGCTGAACCTCGAGAACATGCACGGAATTGGCTACCGAACAATGCCGTCCAGCTCGCCAGCCGTGGCAAAGCACCGCCCAAGCCGTCGCCAGAGATCGCGCCAGGTGACGCCGAACATCGCCACAGCCGTCGCCAAGCACCGCCCTAGCCCCTATCTGTCGCCAAGCAGCGCCACAGCCGTCGACAAGCGCATGTAGACAGAGAAGCAAAGCTTCACCTCCATCATGTCCCTGAGGTCCGCGCGGGGTTCATGGATCGGCCCTGGGCTCTAAGTCGGGCCTGTCCCCCTACAGGGGGATTGTGGACGAACTTTAAACATCGACCACAGACTAATTATTTCTGACTATGTTTTAAAGTTTCCCCTGTAGAGGGACCGGCCCGACTTAACCCTGGACCCAACCCCCTGGCGCGCGGAGCGCGCCAGGGACGGCGCTAGAGGTGCCGCACGGGGCCCAACGCTGGTCCCCCCCAAAAAAACCATGCGGAACTCGATGAAATAGCTTACACCATTCTCCTGGTCCGAGCACAGTAGGGGCTCGACCACAAGAGACTTTGGAGTCCCGAAACGGTGCGGTCACAGACCGTGCGGTGACCTCGGATCCCCAACAGACCTCACCGCACGGTCCGTCACCGCACGGTCTTGGGACCTCGGAGGCCCCTGTCGCCCGAGACGTCCTCGGAGAGGGCCTCGAGTACCAAAACCGTGCGGTGACCCCGAATCCCCACCGACTCACCACACGGTGTGGTCACCACCCCGTTTGGGGGCTCGACCACACGAGACCTTCCACAAGAAACCCAACCCTGAGGCCCCGGGGCGTCCATGGGTGTTTGGCGCGGGAGCGTCGCGCTCTCCACAGCAGAAAAAACCATCGAAACCCAAGAAACCCCCGGCACCCTGGAGGCAAGCAGCGTGTTCCTTGGCATGGGCCCCCACCTTAGCTGTTATTAAAAACGCTGGGGGCGTATGTTTCCCGTTTTCAACTTTCGGTGTTGCGGCCAACCAACACAGAAAAATACGGCAGCCCAAAACGTACACAAAACGACACCAGCTGGGACCAAAGCAGAACAAACAAACAGCAGCCCAACACAGAAACTAACACGTTGAGCAACAACATTAAAAAAAACGCCGCGGGTTTGGAAAAGCCGCCTCTGCACCAGAAGCTGGTTTCATGGCGCGTGTACAATGGGGACCTCCCACTGTACATCCGTCAGCCGGACGCGCCGAGCAGCTCCCGCGCAGAACCCGAGGGCTCCCCACTTCGCGCTTCGCGCTGCGCGAAGCGCGAAGTGCGAATAACTTCGCGCTCTCGCGCCGCCTCTCAGGGAAGAAGAGTCGGCGGTGGACAAACCTCCCTTTACTAAACCTCCTCTTAGTGAAAACGGCCTGGGACCGAAACCGACGGACCTGGACCCGCAAGAATGACGGCCGCGACGCCCTCTCGCGAACCGAAAACGGCCGATTCGCTAATCGACGTGTCAGGGTAGGTCTATCCACCCCCGAAAGAGGAGGATGAGGAGGAATCGGAGCCGAAGCGCGAAGCGCGAACAACTTCGCGCCCTCGAGGGCGCCCTTGATCCAGACCCTGGCCAGTCGGGCATTGCAGGATCCTGCAAAGCCCTGCAGGATCGTGCACCCTGACCCGAGCCACTGCGCCCCTGGCCCCGCAGGATCCCGCGAGACCCGCCCGGCGCTCGGACTGACCCCCGCTCGCATGGACCCCCCGCCTCTGGAGGCCCCGGCTCCGGAGCCCGTCCTCCGGAGCGCGAAGCGCGAACAACTTCGCGCCCTCGAGGGCGCCCTGGAAAGCCTGAGCTTCGCGCGCCGCGCTGCGCCGACCGAGCCGTCGGAGAGGCGCCCCTCGGGGCAAAAGGCCCTCTCCGCTCCCCCCCCCCGCGGAGCCTCGCGTGCAGCCAGCGGGCCCCTGGAGGACAAAGGCTACGTCGGGCCTGTCCTCCTACAGGGGGATTTTGCACGAAGAATACAACATGTCCAGAAAAATATTCCGAAATTGTCGACAATGATCCAACAATCGTCCCCAGACTATTTTTTAAACTATCTTGGAATACCCCCCCTGTAGAGGGACAGGCCTGACTTAAGACAAAGGTCCTGGAACTCTGTCGCCGCCCTCGTCGGGGGGATCCACGAGGGGGGCGTCCAAGAGGGGGGGGGGGGGCGCGCATCATGCCCGGCGGAGCGAGATAAGCAGAGGCGCCACGAGATCTGCAAAAAATATCACGGCCCCCGCCATGATATCCACCCCCTCCTAGTCTTAAGTCGGGCCTGTCCCCCTACAGGGGGATTTTCGACGAAGGATAAAAAATACCTAAGAATGCTCCAACATGATCAAACAATGCTCCAAAAATCGTCCCCCGACTATTCTTGAAACTATTTGCGAATATACTCCCTGTAGGGGGACAGGCCCGACTTAATCCTAGTCGTCACCCCCCTCTTAGGCCGCCCCCGAGGCTCCCGAGGCCCTCCGCTGTCGCCCGGGACCGTCGGGAGACGACGCAGGGAGAGGGAGCTGGCCCAGGTGAAGGCACCGGGGGTCCTTCTTGTCTGGGGGGGGGAGGCTCAAGTCGGGCTTGTCCCCCTACAAGCCGATTTTGGACGAAAAATCGAAAATAGTCAAAAAACATCCCAACATGGTGAAACAACAAATACTTAAAAAATCGTCCCCAGACATTTATTCATTGCTTTTGAATGTAGAGGGACAAGCCCGACTTAAGGAGAGGCAGGGAGGAGGGGGGACGCATAGAGGAAGAACACACCGCATGAACGTAAACTTTTGGCGCTCCGCGCGGGTCCACTAAATCCGCGTGGAGCGCCAACCGTTTCTGTTCATGGCGTTTTTTCTTCTTCGAGGGAGGCGAGAAGACTGCGCCCCGTACGAACCATAGACCACGCCTGGGAGCTGGCTGGCAAACCCCTGCCACAGGACAGGACTGCTTTCGCCCTGGTGGAAATCCTGGAGCGCCTTTTTTATTCGCGGCGCCATCACGGGCGTTATGGGAGGGGGAGGGGGGGGGAAGAGGAAGAGGAGGAGGAGGAGGAGGAGGAGGAGGAGGAGGAGGAGGAGGAGGAGGAGGAGGAGGAGGAGGGGGAGAAGGAGGAGGGGGAGGAGGACGAGAGGGGGCATAACGTAACTCCAACACCCCCCCAGACTGTGGTGCCGGACGCACTGCGGCAGCGCCGGGGAAAAGGCCGAGGGCCACCCCAGGGCCCCGCGAGGTGCGACCCGCGGGTGGGGTACGCTGGCGGCATCTCCGGTCCGGGACTGGACAACCCCCTCGGCATGGACCGCCGCAGCCTGGCAGTCTGCGGAGGTCGTGCCCTGAGATCCGACAGCGCGAGACACCTGCGCCGGCGGGAGAAATCACGACGGGAGCCCTGGGCACCACTTTTCTGCCGCATGTTCCAGGCTGGGTCGAGAAGCGGCAAGGCCGGGATCTCAGGGTCGAGGATCCTCAGGACGTGTGTTCGCGCCAACGCGCGCGCTTGCCCACTCAAGGCCTTCGACACGCCCTAAGCAACGTAGTGAGGGCCGACACACGCGGCGCGCTAACGGTGGAGCTGAGAGGCGTACACGTCGTTCATTTCTAGTCGTGTTCCTTTCTAACTCTGCTCGTTTCTAACTGTCCCTGGCCCCCTAGTGGCCAGGAAGAGGCCCAGGATGGACGAATTGGACATGAAAGGATCTTGGGCCCCCAAAACAAATCGAAGAAGTTTCGAATCATTAGAACTGAACGGTGTGCAACACACCTTGGGCCAGCACGCTAGAGGCTCCCTAGATGGGGTTCGAGCAGATGGGGTCGGAGGATGTCGCCGCATCGCAAATACATCGGCGATGCATCGGCGACGTCGGCGTGGAGAAAATTGGGCCCCACATCGAGCCGCATCGCCGATGCATCGCCGATGCATGGGCGATGCGGCGCGATCCTCCGACCCCATCTACTCCGACCTCATCCAGGAAGCCTAGACACGCATCCCGAGGGCCATCGCTGCGTGGGCCGTGGACGCTCTCGGGGGCGGGGGGGCCTCGTTCTGCTTCTGCAGCTTGTCGTTCTCCTCGAAGAACTCGTCCTGGGCACGGGGCGCGCGCGGCCGCGGGGGGGAGGAGCCGACCGCGGACCTCGGGAGGCCCGCAGGGAGGCCTCCGTGGATCTCCGGGGACCACCACGGCCCCACCTGCTGGTGGCACAAGGGATCGATATATATATATATAGATAGATAGATAGATAGATAGATAGATAGATAGATAGATAGATAGATAGATGGATGGATGGATGGATAGATAGATAGATATATAGATAGATAGATAGGTAGATAGATAGATAGATAGATAGATGCGTGTGTAGGTATGTATATATAAAGGTAAAAAAAAATTAAACAGGGAGAAAGGGATAGAAGAAGAGGGGAAGATAGAGAGAGGGGTGTGTGAATTGTCATACGCACCCCTCCGAGGGAGTACAGCTCGGAAACAATGAATTCAAGCCGGAGGGTCTCGCCCGCGATGTTTCTGGCCGTTTCGCCCGAGGCATCCTCAAGCATCGGACGCACCGCTCCCGCAGATCCCGACGACAGAGTCCAAGCGCATATCATATGTGCAACATGTTAGCATAAAACCTTGCGAAGCCTACAACGGATTTCCTCCTCTGCTTTTTTCCTCTGCTTCTCCATCTCCTGATTATTCCTCCTCGTCCTCGGATCGCCTTCATATTCGACTTCGATGCTTCCGTTTTGAACTTATTTGCCTATGAGCCTGCGTACGCGCGTGTCACTTGTGCAAGTACACGTTTTGTTGTGTGGCATTTCTAGCAGTGGCGCCGAGGGGGGGCTGCAGTTGAGCATCACTGAGGATTGGGGGGTGGGGGCCAAGTTTGGTGTTGGTGCTTGCGCTGGTTACGAATCCAGTTTGCCTGATTATGAAAGTTGGTGAATGCCTTCGTCCTCCTCTATCCCAAGCCAAGAACAAAAAGATACAACGATCGGCAGAGCAAACGGAGGAGGACGAAGAGAAAGAGCGTGATAATCAGAGGACAGCTCGCCGCTTGGGCCCCACCGCCAGCCCAAACGGCGAGCATAAATCGGGCGTAGCCCCGCACGCATTTGGATGCCCACGCTTCGTCCTCGTACGGTTCGCGGCCCCCCAGAACGGTGAGTCCGTTGACGGCGTCCAGGTCGTATCAGGGACACACACAGGTTGCGCCCTCGGCCGCCGAGAATAAAACCGTCCCCTATCGGCTGCGCTAGGGGTTGCGCCCTTGGCCGCCGAGAATAAAACAGTCCCCGATCGGTTGCGCCATAGGTTGATCCCTCGGCCGCCCAAAAAAACACCGTCTCGCATCGCTTGCGCCATAAATTGAGCCCTCGGGGGCCGAGACAAAAACCGTCTCCGATCGGTTACGCCATAGGTTGCGCCCTCGGCGGCCCAGACTAAAACCGTCTCCAATCGGCTGAGCCAAATATTGCCCCCTCTGCGGCCGAGAACACAACCGTCTCCGGTCGGTTGAGCCATCGGCGGCGGCCGAGAATAAAACAATCTCCTATAGGTTGCGCCATGGGTTCCGCCCTCGGCCGCCGAGAATAACACCGTCTCCTAATGGTTGCGCCATGGGTTGCGCCATCGGCCGCCAATATTAAAACCGTCGCCTATCGGACGCGCCATAGGTTGCGCCATCGGTGGCCGAGAATGAAACAGCCTTCTATCGGTTGCACCATAAGTTTCGCCCTCGGCCGCCAATAATAAAACAGTCGCCTATCAATTGCGCCATAGGGTGCGCCCTCGGCGGCCGAGGATAAAACCGTCTGCTATCGGTTGCGCCATAGATTGTGCCCTCGGTGTTCGAGTATAAAACTGTCTCCTATCGGTTGCGCCACAGGTTGCCCCATCGGCGGCCGAGAATAAAAACGTGCGTTATTGGCTGCGCCAAGGGTTCCGCCCTCGGCGGCCGAGGATAAAACCGTTTTCTGTAGGTTGTTCCATAGGTTGCGCCCTCGGCGGCCGAGAATAAAACCGTCTCCTATCGGTTGCGCCCAATGCCGAGAATACAACTGTCTATTATCGGTTGCACCATTGATTGCGCCCTCGGCTGCCAATAATAAAACCGTCGCCTATCGGCTGCGCCATAGGTTGCGCCATAGGTTGCGCTCACGGGGGCCGAGAATAACACCGTCTCCTATCGGTTGCGCCCTAGGTTGAACCATCGGCGGACGACAATAAAACCGTCACCTATCGGTTGCGCCACAGATAGCGCCCTATGCCGCCGAGAATAAGACAGTCGCCTAACGAGTGCGACCAGTCAGTTCAGTTCAGTTCAGTTTAGTTCAGTTCAGCTCACTTCAGTCCAGTCCAGTCCAGTCAGTTTACCTCGCGAGGAACACATTCGGGCTACGCCCGAGATTCGCATGAAGATGCGGCGTGACAGGAACGGCTTGGGACCGTCTTCGGGCCCTGTTGGGCCGTCTTGGGCACCTTTTGGGTCGTTTCGGGGTCCTCTTGGGCCAGCGTGGGGCGGTCTTCGGGGCATTTGGGGCCTCCCTGACCGCCTTGGAGCGTCGGACACTCGAACAAGCAAAAAAAACAATCATTGAACAACCAACGGGAAGTCAATGCTTTTTGCCTGTTGGAGCTCTCTTGGGAACGTGTTTGAAGTCCTCTCGGAAAGTATCCAAGGCCTCTTGAACCGTCAGGAGGCTACCTTTAGCGTTTTGAATGTATCGTTCGACGGCTCTGGGGCCATTTTGGGCCTCCTTGCGCCCTCTTGGGGCCCTTTCCGCCAATTCAGGGGCCAACCAGGACCGTCACAAGCGGAGCTCAGAAGCCGTCCCAGGCCCCAGTCCCCCATGGAGGGTCGAGGCAACTGTTTTCGGGCCCCACGCCTGCCCCCTCTGGTATGAACATATGTCTATATATACACACATATACATATGTGTATATCGGTATATACACAGACATACGCAGATGAGGATATATATATATATATATAGAGAGAGAGAGAGAGAGAGAGAGAGAGAGAGAGAGAACGAGGAAGGACAAACAAAGGGGGAAAGAAAGAGAGAGAGAGAGAGATAATGGTCTCACTAGGTACACATATGCACACACATGTACGATCGCTTTATACACATCGCTCATGGTACATTGGTGTATATGTGTATATATATATACATATATATATATAGATGGGGCATCCACGGGACAATCACAAGACAACCGCGGGAGAACAATGGGCAACGGCGGGACAAGCACGGGACAACAAGTGACAACCACGGAGCAACCACAAGAGGACCGCGGGACACCCGCGGGACAACAAGGGGACAACCGCGGATCAACCACGGATCACCTACGGGGCAATCGCGGAACAACCACGGGATAGTAACGGGACAGCAACGGCAACATCATGACACACCGACAGAACAATACATAAGTCCCACTAACATTTCACGAATGTCACTATCAACCGATTGGACGATCTCACGATATATCGGGCCCATAATGTGCCAACTGATCGCACGATCACTATATCTATGAATAGCACTACTCCAACATATCTACCGGTCTCACGGCCTCTTTATCTGTCTACAGACAAAACAAACGCAAGACAAGCACGGGACGCGCGCGGGACAACCTCGTGACAACCTCGGGGGACAATCGCGGGACAACCACGTGACAACCACAAGACAGCCGCGGAGAACAACGTGACAACCACATGACAACCGCGGGACAACCGCGGGAAACCACGGGACATCCATGGGACAACTGCCGGACAACTCCGCTTCCGCCCTGGAGCGCTGTACACCGATGCATCTTGGCGTTACCTGGGCCTAGCTAGGCGAAGATCTCGTTCTGGTTCGCCTCGCCCGCATGCACGATACAAACCGAAACCGAAACCGATGTTCCGGTTGTGGGCCTTCGCTTCACCTCGGCGTCACCCCACCCCCAACCTCCGAACTGCAAGCCGCACTCGGGCGGTGGTGGAGATCCCGGCCGATCTTCAGCACATGTCGGGGATGCTGCGGTCGATGACTCTGGCAGGATCGCGCCCGCTCTGGCCGCCCTAGGAGTACAGCGTTCACCGCCTCCACCCCTCAGACGTCGAGCACTTACTCCCGAGATCAAGTTTGACGGGCGTGATCACCAAGCTGCGTAGACGACGAGCGAGGAGGCCCACCCACAGGGCTCCCAGAGAAAGAGCCAAGACCTCCCACGTTGCCGACCAGACTATGACTCATTCGAGCTCCAATAAAGCGCCCTTTCCCTCCACTCGGGGGTGGGCAGAACCCTCTTTAGCAAAACGCGCTTGAAAGAAAGTTGACAGGAACCCTCCGCGTGCGCACGGCACCGCATTGGTGGCGGATCGACGCCCAAAATCAGCCGAATGTATCCAGCGAGACGCACGTCGATGAGGAGTGAGCAGGGACCAACCGTCCCGGCATTCCTGTAGTCATACCACGAGATGTTCTGAGAACCCGAACATGCTCTAAGAACAAAAACAATGTTCGTAGAACATAAACCCGATGTGCTAAAACAAAACAGACTCCGCCAGAAATGTTCTAAGAACATTCCGTGGAAACCGCCAAAGTTTCTTAGAACATTGTTTGGTGGGGCTATCGGCGAGCCAGGACGCTTCGCCACTGCTTGAGAAAAGAAAGCTCCCTGCGCACCGCAAGCCAGGAGGGATGGCGATAATGATAGTTTTGGTGCTGGCGGTGGCTATGGTGGTGATGGATGATGATAATGATGCTGATAATGATGATGATGATGATGATGATGATGATGATGATGATGATGATGATGATGATGATGATGATGATGATGATGATGGTACTGATAATGATGATGATGATGATGATGATGATGATGATGATAATGATGATGGTGATGGTGGTGGTGATGGTGATGGTGATGATGCTGATGATGATGATGACGGTGATGGTGATGATGGTGATGGTGATGATGGTGATGGCGATGATGGTGATGACGATGATGGTGGTGATGATAATGATGGTGATGATGATGGTACTGATAATGATGATGACGACTGCATGCGACTTTGATGTTGAGGATGCTGATGAGGACGTTGATGATGTTGATGTGGATGCAGATGAGGACGATGATGCTGATGCTGATGCTGATGCATGACGCATGATGCATGATGGCGATGGTGATGATGATGATGCTGATGATGGTGATGATGATGATGATGGTGATGGTGATGATGGTGATGGTGATGGCGATGATGGTGATGCAGATAATGGTGGTGACGATGATGATGGTAATGATGATGGTACTGATAATGATGATGACGAGTGCATGCGACTTTGATGCTAAGGATGCTGATGAGGATGTTGATGATGTTGATGTGGATGCTGATGAGGACGATGATGCTGATGCTGATGCTGATGTTGATGCATGATGCATGACGCATGATGGTGATGGTGATGGTGAAGATGATGATGATGATGATGATGATGCTGATGATGGTGATGGTGATGATGATGATGGTGATGATGCTGATGCTGATGCTGATGCGGATGCATGATGCATGACGCATGACGCATGACGCAAGATGATGATGATGATGATGATGATGATGCTGATGCTGATGCTGATGCTGATGCTGATGATGATGATGATGATGATGATGATGATGATGATGATGATGATGATGATGGGGCGGCGGCGGCGGTGGCGGCAATGGCCACGACAAAGACGACGGCAATGATGAGGCGGAGAGGGAAGAAGAGGAGGGCGAGGACAAGGACGAGGAGGAGAAGAAGGTGGCCCGCCCGTCCCCGTCTTGCCGTCGCTCGGACGCTCCTTTCCCGTGCTTTTTGTTTGCGGTTTCGTGCGTGCTTGTTTTTTTTTGCTCGAGGGTCCAGGATGGTCCTCGATGGTTCTCGCCGAGAAAAAATGCACACGTCCGAGCGATGCCAAGCTGTCTCTTCCTCCCCTCCTCCTCCTCGAGCACGACCGAGGAGCAGCCCCCCCGCGCCGGGGGGTCCTCCTCCGCGCGCGCGGACCGCACCCGCTCGAGGGCCGCCTGCTGCGTGCGGCGGAGGGACTCCTTCTCCCCGAGGGCCTCGGTCCGCGGCAGCGTGGAGGCGCAAGGGTGAAGTCGGGCGTGTCCCCCCACAGGGGGATTTTCGACGAAAAATAAAGCATACCCCAATATACTCCCAAATGGTCAACAGATGCTCAAACAATGGTCCCCAGACTTAGCGCAAGAGTTTTGGATGCCATGACAATGGGCACCCTAACACTCCTATCCTTGAATGTACAATGTGTTTACACTGTAAGGGAATGTTCTAAGCATGTTTAAAATCTGCTTGTGCATATTTGAACCATTCTTAATACATGCTTTCGACATCTGGAAATTATTTGGCAACATGCTTCCTCTCCATTGATGGTCCTCCACAACGCAAGCGGTGGGAGCCTCCCCTCGACTTGTGCTGCCCCCGTCGCACTTGAGGACCGCACCCAAGGACTAAGATTGAGTACCCAGGAAGGTATCGAAGCAACGTCGAACAAGTATCGCCTCCCAGGGCCCGACACGTGAAAACCCTCAAGTTTCGATACATACTCGGTGCTCGAAATTCTTTTTGGTGATCAAGGCTGGAGTAGGTTGGAACATCATGAATCATGACCTTCGACATGCCAGAAACGAACACTGATGGAAGCGAGTCCTGGGTCCTGGGCCAATGCAAGCCTCCTGGGTCCCATGGGGTAGGGAATGGAAACAGGCCTCCAAGCTCCCAGAACCATCAGGCCTGACCTCTTTCGGAGATGTTTTCGGGAACTCGTGGTCATCTGCGGACAAGTTGTACATGGTGGGACCCCTTGGGAAATAGAGAAGGGGATAGACGACGGCGTTTTTTGACGTCTTTTTGTGACAAAGGGTTCTGGAGGGATCGCGAAAGTGTTTTTTGGGAGCTCGGAGGGGCCCAGGAGACTCTCAGGGTATTCGATTCGATTATATTCACCTTGAGCACCGTCCTTGACTGATCAGGCTGTGCACTATGAGCGGACTGGGCTGATACCAACACTTCAGGAGACATTTATACAAACACTTCAGGAGACGCTCGTGGGCGAGAAGGAGGAAGAGGACGAGGAGGAGGATGGGGAGGGGAGAAGAAGGGACGAGGAGGAGTGCGGAGGATGAGGAGGACGAGGAGATGATGTGGATCGATGGGGCACTTCGCTGAGACGATCCTGACGAGCCGACTGGACAGATGGAGTCCGCTGCTTGGGCGAGGAGGAGCGACGAGGACGAAGGAGGACATATGAGTGCTGTACAGTCGGGGCGTTGACCTAACGAACCCTAAATAAGGAACGAGGCCCTTTGTTTCCCAGAAGTTACACTTCCATCTCCCGGGGGTAACCTCATGAAAACCTGAGGCAAGCTGCAGCACAATCAAGGAGCACCGAGCCCCTCCCCAACGAAAAGGGTCCCTTCTTCAGCGCCCCGACTGCCAAGGAGAAGCAGGATGACCACCACCAGCCGGAGGTCCGTGCGGACTGCATCGGCCAGGGCTCGCTGCCCTCCCCGGCGCGCGGCCGCCTCCAGGGGGGGCCCCGGCGCCGAAGCCGCGCACGGAGAGCCGAGCGTCCGCCTGCCTGTGCGTACACATCTGTCTACCTCGATCCGGAGGTTTCGGGGACGGACAAACCTCCCTTTCGTAAAGCGTGGTTTAGTGAAAACGGCTTCGGGCCCAAACCTGGCGGGCGCAAGCCTGGAAGATAACGGCCACGTCGCCCTCTCGAAAACCGAAAACGGACAATTCACGAATCGACGTGTCACTGTGGGGGGTTCTGTCCACCCCCGAAGGTTTGCATGATTGTGCAGCTGTGCGTCCCTCCGCCAGGGAGGGATGCCGCACGGCCAGCCCGGGCGCCCCGACCCCGGCCGAGCAGCCCGTCGCCGAAGAGCAAAAGGGGGGCACGGGCACCGCGCGGGGGGATCGAAGCTCCCTTCAGCGACCGACCGATCGGCCCGTCGACCTCCTCTCCGCCCTCCCCTCCTTCCTCCTGCCCCTCCACTTCCACCACCTCCGCCTCCCCCCTTCCCCCTTCCCCATCCTGCTCATGCACGTCCTCCTCCTCCTCCTCCTCCTCCTCCTCCTCCTCCTCCTCCTACCTCCTACCTCCTACCTCCTACCTCCTACCTCCTACCTCCTCCTCCTCCTTCTCCTACCTCCTCCTCCTCCTTTTCCACCCCCTCATCCTTATCCACCGATCCTTCAGCACCTCCACCTCCACCCTTCGCGCGTTCTTATCCTCCACCTCCGCCTCCGCCTCCGCCTCCTCCTCCTCCTCCTCCTCCTCCTCCTCCTCATCATCATCATCATCATCATCATCATCATCATCATCATCATCATCATCATCATCATCATCATCATCATCATCATCATCATCATCATCATCATCATCATCATCCTCTCCCCTCTCGACGTTGGGCAAACTTCGCTTTGCGATCGTAGCGTCCGTATGACGAAGAAAGGCCCCCTCCTTCACCTTTTCAGGCTCCTCCTCCACCTCCTCCTCCTGCTCCTCCTGCTCCTGCTCCTCCTCCTCCTCCTCCTTATCATCATTATCATCATCCCCTTCCTCGAGGATTGGGAATCAAACCCTCCTTGCCGTGGCTCCTTCCCGTCACCTCTTCGTCGTCGCCCACCTCCTCCTCCTCCTTGCCATCCAGATGCCCGAGTTTTCCCTGCTGCGACTGCGTGACTGTGTGCACCTCCTCCCCCTCATCCACATCCCATTCGACCTCTACGTCCTCCTCCTCCTCCTCCTCCTCCTCCTCCGCCTCCTCCTCCTCCTCCTCCTCCACACCGAAGATTGGGAACCGACGCTGTTTGGGCGTCCTGGGCACTCCCGGGGGCCTCCAAGAACCTTCTCCGCTCCCTCCCGTGGCTCCTCCCCGTCACCTCTTCGTCGTCGCCCACCTCCGCCCCTTCACCATCCTGATACCCAAGCTTTTCATGCTCCGAATGCTTGACCGTGTGCACCTCCTCCTCCTCCTCCTCCTCCTCCTCCCTCCTCCTCCTCCTCCTCCTCCTCCTCCTCCTCCTCCTCCCCCCCCGCCTCCGCCTGTTCATGTCGTCGTCGTCCTCGTCGTCCTCCTCCTCCTACTCCTCCCACTCCTCCTCCTCCTCCTCCTCCTCCTCCTCCTCCTCCTCCTCCTCGTCTTCCTCCTCCTCTCCCTTCTCGTCTTCCTCCTCCTCTCCCTTCTCGTCGTCCTCGTCCGTGCCCTCCCCCCCCCCGCGCTTCGAGACCGTCGTTCTCTTCCGCCTGCCCCCCTTCGGCAGGAGCAGTCCGGACCACCGCCCGCCTCCCGCACTGACGATGGGAGGCCACTGCCTCGAAGGCCCCCAAGGGCGGCAGATCGTCTTCTACCCCTCCCCTGAGGGACGCCCCTCCAGTCTTCTACCCCCCCTCCATCCCCCGCCCCCATCCTTCCTCGCAATCGCCGACCTTCCCGAGTCCATCCTCTGCCTGTGCTCACCCGTCACCCCTCCATGCTCCTCCTCCTCCTTCTCCCCGCCCCTGCTCCTCCTGCCCCTGCTCCACCTTGTCTTCCTTCCCCCCCCCCCGCCCTCGCCCTCGCCATCTTCCCCCCCACCTCTGGCACTGTGGTCTTGCACTTCCCCGCGCCGATGTGCGCGAGGTATCCGCCCAGGAACGGACGACGGCAAGGCGCCGAGACGCCCGACGTCGCTCGGCAGGGGGGCCCACTGAGCCGCCCGCCGCCTGCAGCTTCTTGTCCAGGTCCTGCCGTGCGTGGGGGGGGGATGCAGAAGAAGCATGCGCCGTGTGTCCAACTGGCACATGAGCAATTAGGGCATGGCAGCGAACGGCGGGTGCTGGGCTCAGCACCTCGCGTGCCAAAAGGCCCCCTGATTCATAGCACTACGGCTGGCAACATTGAATCAAGTGGAGAGGAAGGAGGAGGAGGAGGAGGAGGAGGAGGAGGAGGAGGAGGAGGAGGAGGAGGAGGAGGAGGAGGAGGAGGAGGAGGAGGAGGAGGTGGAGGGAGGAGGAGGAGGAGGAGGAGAGGGGGGGGGGGCAGCGTCAGCGCACCAGCACCGATCCTGGCCGGGCCGATCCCGTGCCCGAGAGCGGCGCGCGCGCCCGCTGGCTCGCCGGGCTCGGCTTGACATGCCCCAGGGCACCGAAGACTGCGAAAAACGGCACCACGTCTGCGTGCCTACTTTACTGTTCAGGACTTGAGCGGTCTGGGAGGCGGAGGGAGGAGGACGAGGACGAGGAGGCGGATGCGGGAGGCAGGAGGGCAGACGATGGAGGACGAAGCATAATGTGAGCAGGAGGAGGGGGGAGGAGGGCTTGAGGGAAGGAGGAGGAAGAGGACGAGGAGGAGGAGGAGGAGCAGGAGGAGGAGGAGGAGGAACTTTCTGATCATCAGGTCCAGGTCCGTGCAACGTCGAGAAGTAGCCCTGTTGGAGGCGGGACTCACGCCGCGGAGGAGGAGGCCTGCGGGAGGAGGCTCGAGGAATTCAGAAACTTAAGGGGCCCTGGGACACACAAATAAATACGCACACATAAAAGGATTCCCCATATTCTTCCATATTTTCTGAGTTGATGTCTTCCCCCCCCACTTCCCACATGTTCCAATATTTTCCTGGGAGTGGACGATTGATTGTGTCTGTGAGTTGTTTCCCCTCCTGAGAAACAGCCTTTCGACTGCACCGACCGGGCACCTCGCGCTGGCCCCTTCGAAAGTAGTGGCGTCGGGGGGGCGAACGACGGAAGGCGCGGGGCGCCCGCCTCGCTCGCCCACTCCACCGTCCTCGATGTCGCCCTCGTCCTCCTCGTCGTCGGCCTCCTCGTCGTCCTCGTCGTCCTCGTCGTCGACCTCCTCGTCGTCCTCGTCGTCGTCGACCTCCTCGTCCTCGATGTCGCCCTCGTCCTCCTCGTCGTCCGCGCCGTTTTCCTCCTCCGCCTGCTCCTCCTCCTCCTCCTCCGCCTCCTCCTCCGGCTCATCGGTCGGTCGGTCGGACTCGGCATTGCAGCAGTCTGTGCGCCGCTCTGCTGAAAGCTTTCGCTCCGAGAGCGTCAAAGAAGAAGGGAGGGAGGACGAAGGTAAGGGAGGAGGGAATAAGATACACCAGGCGGGGCAGGGGACGACGAAGGAGGCTTCCCGCGCGCGCGGCGCCGCGCCCTCGCGACCGGCTGGGCCGCGCCACGCGCGCTACGCCTCAGCGCGCCCTGGGCCGCCCAGCCGCTCGGGAAGGCACCCGCGCCCGCACTCGTCGGCCAGCAGACGGTAGTCCCCCTTGCGCAGCACGTGCACGATGCCCCCCGACGACGGCATGGCCAGCTTGGACACCACCTTCCAGATCAGGTCGAACATCAGCGGCGTGTTCACGACGAACACGTGCTCCACCGCCATCGGGTAATACCGCGCGTTGATCTGGCTGATCTCCCTCAGAGTGGAGAGCATGTCGGGGTATCCGAGCGGGTTCTGCTTCACGGACACGCCCGCCATGTCGAGCACCGCCACGAAGCCCGCTGGCCTCGGCGGCACGGGCCCCGCGCCGCCCTCCTCGCCCTCCTCTGGTGGGCGCAGCAAGAGCTCGCAGACCAACGCGTGGGCCCGGAGCATCCTGCGCTTTCCGTCCTGGTCTCCAGCCACGGCGTTAATGGCCTTCATGTCCCAATTACCAACGGCCTCGACCAAGACCGTGCGCCCCAACCGATCGGGCCCGCGCAGCTCGTAGTGGAGCAATGTCCGGTACCACTCCCGCTCGTCGCGCAGCGCCTCGGGGTTGGCGAGCAGGCCGTCGACGTCTTCGGCCGCCCTCCACCCCATGACCTCGCGCACCTTCGCGTACGCCGCCTCTGCGTTGCCCTCCGCGTGCCTCCACGCGCGCCACGGCAGGCCCGGCGGCACGCGCCCGAGGCCGGCCTGCGCGAGCCTCCGCTCCAGGTCCAGGAGAGCCTCGCGCTCGGGCTCGGGGTCCTCCGCGCGCGCCGCCCGCAGCGCGGGCCTCGGGCGGCCTCGTCTGGCGGCGGCGCCGCGCGGCGGGGGCCGCCGTGCGAGGCCCGCGCCAGCTGGCGGAGGCAGGCCGCTGCGCGCCGCGAAGCCGTGCTGCGGCAGCAGGCCCGCGGAGCACGCGCCCAGGGCGGCTGCGGCGATGCGGGGGGCCATCCGCGGCCTGGCGCCGCCCACGGCGGAGCCCATCGCCGCGTGGCCCGCACGCGGGGCGGCCCCGCGGGCGGCGGGGCCCGCTGCCAGGGCGCGCGGGCCCGCAGAGGGCGCCTCCGAGGCGAGGGGCGGCTTGAGCCAAAACGGCTACGGCTCGTCGTCCTCATCCTGCGGCCAGCGAGAGAGAGAGAGGAACACAAAACAAAAGAGAGAGAGAGAGAGAACACACAATAATATAATCATCTTCGTCGTCGTCCTCCTCCTCCGGAAAAAAATAAAGAAAAGCGATGAACAGAGAGAGAGAGAGAGAGAGAAACACCATAAGAGTGAGACACACAGAGAGGGAGAAACAGAGAGAGAGAGATATTGAAAAGAGACAGATAACAAAGAAAGAGAGGGAGAGAGAGAAAGAGAGAGAGAGAGAGAGACAGAGAACGAGATAGAGAGACAAAGAACTAAAGACAAAGGAATACAAAGAGCGAGAGAGAGAGAGGGAGAGGGAGAGAGGAGAGAGAGAGAGAGAGAGAGAGGCGAAACATGTTATATGTTGAAGACAAGGACACCTCTATAAAGAAGAACAAATGAAGAAATAAGTGGAAGGAGTGCTGTTTTGAAGTGCGCACACGCGTCCCACTCCCATAACAAAAAAAACAATGTGGGTGGTGGGATGTCCCTGCGCGTGCACGCGACATCCGCGACCACCCCCCAAACCACACCCTGCCTCGGCCACGCCCGACAGGACTGCAGTCAGCTGCTTCTTCGAACGTGACCCCGGCGCAGCCTCCCTTTCAAGGGGGGAGCGCACTGGCGGTGCGCATCCACGGGGAGTCGCTCCGCGATAATGAGCATCCCCTCGCCGCCCCGCGATCGACACCTCGAGCGCGGAAACCCGATGGCCCTGCGTCGAATGCTTCGCACCGTGCGCGGTGGCGCAGTCGCGCAGCGTCGACGACGAAACGGTTCGCGCTCGGGCGGGCGCGCGGCGCCGGGCAGACCACCGGGGTGCCGCGCCGGCGACTGGCTCGGCGACGAGCTGGTCTGCGCTGGAGTCGGCGCGCGGCGCCACGGAGCTTCTCTGCCAGCCTGGACAGTGCTCGCGCGCGCGGGCGAAGACTCGCGCGTCGCATGGGAGGCCCAATCTCGGAGCGCAATGCATCGCGCTGGGGGCTGCGCGCGGCGCCAATCGCCAATCCCATCCCGCGCGCGACTGGCAAGCGCTCGAACGCATGCGGGATGACTCCTCGCGCGGCATCGGCAGCGTTCTCGGCAAACGATGCTGGAGCGGCGGTCGGCGCGTAGTGCCAAGCGAGCGGGCCGGCGACTTGCTGCGCGCGCGGATGGTGACGCGCGAGTGCGCGCAGGCGCCGCTGCGGTCGCGTCGCAGCGGCGGCGCAGAACAGGCTTCCCTGCGGTCGCGTCGCAGCGACGCCCATGCAAGCTATCGCTCCGCAACCACCACGCCCGGGGGGGCGGCTGCATGAGAGGGCGTCAACTGCAGCCGCGCTGGTCGCGGTAGAGTCGGCGCGCGGCACCATGCAGTTTCCTTGCTCTCCCGGTCAGGGCTCGCGCGCGCGGGGGGCGACCCGCGCGTCGCATGGTCGGCTGAATCGAGGAACGCGCTGCATGGCGCTGGGGTCGGCGCGCGGCGCCAATCCCATATCTCGCGCTGAGGTCGGCGCGCGAATAGACGCCAGCTGCAGTCGCCGCCGAAATGCCGCAGGGGGCGGGGGGGGCCTGCCTGAGAAGAGGTCCGCAGAGGGCGCCGCGTGCGAGCGGCGCGCAGAAGCGCCCTCGGGAAGCGCCAGAGAGCGCCACGTGGGGGCGGCGGGCAAGCATGGAACCGCCCTCGGCCGCGCGCGCTCACCGAGATCCTTCCGAAACCTTCATCACCGACACGTGACACCATCCCGAAACCTTCATCACCTTCCGAAACCTTCATCACCAACACCGGTGTGATCAGCATCGGCGCCGTCACTGGCCTTGCCGTCGTCATCGCCATCATCGTCACCAGCACCGCTACTATCATCATCGTGTCTGTCGTTGTCGACGTCGCCATGGTACCGCGCCCGCCCGAATCACTGACTCGCACTAAGGTGCCCGCGCGTCAGCGCGTCCTGCGGAACGCGCTGGGGCGTCCCCAGCGGTCAGCACCACCGCGGCCGCGTTGGTCGCGCCAGACTAGCTGGCCACAGAGATGCGCCAGCTAGCGCCTAGCAGTCATCGGCACCGCATGGGTTTTGCAAACCGAATTGCGGGAGGGGTGGTGAGACGATGGCGCGAGCAGTGGAAATGACGACTCGCTGCGAACATGAATTGCACCACGTAGATTGCACTACATAGTTTGCACCACGCAGGTTGCACCACATAGGTTGCATCACGAATGCACCACATACAATGCTAGGCACACGCACTGTTTGGGGTCCACATGGGCGAGCACACACATACACATATATTTATATACAAATATACATATATATATATATATCGAAAAATATGCATATACTGTATGTTAACATGCGCATATACGGTATTCCACATACATGTCTACATAATGAAAGAGAGAGGGAGAGAGAACAAAGAAAGAGTGAGAGAGAGAGAGAGTGAGAGAGAGAGTGAGAGAAATCTAAAAACAACACGAATAAGGGAACATATCAACGAACACAAACAATACATAGCGAACGGGAGAGAGAGAGAGAGAGCAAACAATCGAAACAAAGAGGAAACGACGAGAGAGAGAGAGAGAAGGACTACACAATAGAAAACGAGCACGCGATCGGCACGAACGTACGGGGTCTGGCGGGAGACGGGCCCGTGATTCCGAGACCCTTCCGGGGCCCAGCTTTTCCCACCGCGTGCCGCCCTCTGGACACCCCCCCCAACGCCCCGACGGAGCCCGAAGCCTGCGAGACCGACGCACGACCAGACGGCTCCGTGGCGGAGCGGGGTGTCCCGAATCGAATCGAATGGGGCCATGGATCGAATCGAATGGAGCGGGGGCTCCATGAGTCGAATGGATTCTGGAGAATGAATGGTCGAGTCGATTCTGGACTGATGGCTCCAGGACTGGAACCATTCATTCTCCATCGAACCCGAATCCATCGAACGAATGGAGCCATGGCGGAGCGGGGGACCATGACTGGGACCCGGAGAGCCCAGCACCGAATCGACGCGTCGGCTCGGCCGTCGAAGCGACTCGGCTCGGCGATGCCTCGGCATCGACGAGCCGGGACGAGTCGCATATCGGCGAGAGAAGATCGGCCTCGGCCGGTAAGAAGTCCGAGAAGGAATCTCGGAGCCCAGATCGGATCGAATCGGATCGGATCGGAGGAATCGACACGAGTCCCAGGCCGAATCGCGTCGGAATCGGAAGCCATCGGCATCGGAGCGAATCGAAGCGGAGGAATCGACGACGGAGCACTGCGAAGAGTGGGGCGGCGACGGGGCGAGGGCGCCCGCCGGGCCCGCTCCTCGGCCTTCTCCTCCCACGCCTCGCCCTGCTGGTGCTCGTCCTCGTACTCCGCGCTGTAGCTGTCCTGCCGCCACGCGGGGGGCCGGCCGGCCCCTGGCGGCACTGCACAGAGGGGGAGGGGGGGAGGGGGGGGGCTTCTCAGAAGGAGGCTGCTTCTCAGAGGGCGCCGGCCTTACATCTACACAGAGGGCCCGCGCCTTCTGAGACGCAGGGATGCTTCTAAGACCCCCCCCCCTCCCCCCACCCCCCTCTGCGCGTGGCTGAGGCCCCCTACTTGCCGCCAGGCCCAGACGTGCTCGCGCCGTGGACCCAGACACCCTCGGGCACCGACAAAATCAGAACGGGAGGCTTTCCTCGTCCTCGGCCTCTGGAGGCCCCGGCCGGCCCTCGCGACCGTCACGAGCGACTCGGGATGCAAAAACGGTCCATGGGAAGAGGGTCGCGACCTCTCAGGGTCGGCGTTATGACAGAAAACATGACGTCGGGGGTCTGGGCTCGAATAAAAAACGTCGTACGCGTAAGCTTCCGACGGTCGGCGCGGATCTGTCGGTGGGCCTGCGCTGGCCCCCCCCTGGCGGCGCTTCTGGCGCCGCCTATGGGCGCGCTCCGCGCGCCAGGGAGGAGGGGGACTCAACTTTAGCGGAGATCCAAGAAATCCGCATGCAGTTGTTTCTTCCTGTGTATGGGTCGAGACCTTTGAAGGTCGGCGTTATATCTGAAAAAGGCACTGTTCAGACTCTGGGGCGCCCCCAGAATCTTGGCATCGCTCCAACTGCATCTCGTCGGCATCAACCATCATATCCTTGATCCTCCCCCTTCGTCGTCCTGGTCCTCCTCCCTGTTTCTCTGCCGGCCCCCTCTCCGCGTGTTTTTCCCCGTCCTCCTCCTCCTCCTCCTCCTCCTCCTCCTCCTCCCGACGTCATGATTTTCTCACAGCGAGCAATGCATGACGTCGGGGGTCTGGGAACAGCAGGCACGACGGGGCACCGCGGGCCGCCGCCGGCCTCCGGAGGCCCGCAGCGCGGGCCCCGGGCGCAGCAGGGAAAGCACCGACGCGGGGTGCCAAAGTGGGACTGGAAGCTGTGCTTTCGTGATTCGCGATAGCGGGCGTGATCGGGGGAGGGCTGTGGATGCCACGACAATGGACACATTCACAGTCCTGGCCTTGAATTTGACATGTGTTTAACATGTAGGAATATGTCATATGAGCATGTTGTTCGACGTGTTGTTTTACATATAACAAAAAACGATTGGGACATGTGTTAGACATCTGGAAATTATCCGGCAACAGACGCAGCAAGGTGCCAAACTGGGACTGGGACCTGTATGTTCATGCTTCGCGATCATAAAGGCCTTCTAGATGGGGTCGGAGTAGATGGGGTCGGAGGATCGCGCCGCATCGCCGATGCATCGGCGATACATCGGCGATGCATCGGCGATGCACCGGCGATGCACCGGCGACGCATCGTCGATGTCGGCGATGCATCGGCGACGTCGACGCGAAGCAACTCGAACCCCACATCGAACCGCATCGCCGATGCATCGGCGACGCGGCGCGATCCTCCGACCCCACCTACTCGGACCCCATCTAGGAGGCCTAGAGATAAATCTGCGTGACCGGGAGAGAGGGAGGAGGGGGGTCGTCCCCCACGAACGCGTCGAGGCGGGGGGGCGCCGGATATCTTTAGAGGAATCCTCAAAGAACTCGTGGGACAAACTGGCGCGACGTGATCGGGGGGGGAAGGGAGAGGGCCGACCGCGGCCGACATCGCCCACACCTTCATGATTCGCGATAGTGGGCATGATCGGGGGAGAGGGAGGAGGGGGGTCGTCCCCCACGAACGCATCGCGGCGGGGGGACGCCAGATATCTTTAGCGGGAATCCTCAAAGAACTCGTGGGACATCCTCGCACGTGTGGGCAAACTGACGTGGTCGAGGGGGGGAAGGGAGAGGGCCGACCGCGGCCGACATCGCCCAGACCTTAAAAGAAACAGGCTCCATAGGGAAAGGGTCGGGTCTCCCGGGGACACCGCATTGACCAAAAAAAAGGCATCGGAAGTCTGGGCCGCCGCCTCGGCTTGAGCGTGTGGCTCTTCCGGGGCTCCTGCCAGCGGGGTCTAAGGTTGCGGCTCCCTCGGGCACGCGCGTAACGGGGCGCGCGTCCAGCATATGAACTTGCACAGTGAGACTGAACCCGCCCGCGTCCAATCGTTAAGTAGTTTCGCCAGACATCGAACATTTGCCTCCGCGAGCGGTTTCCACAATGGGCTCGTTCCCGCCCAAGAGAGAAGTGCGTCCCACAACGACGAATGGCCCCTGGGCCCCTGGCGCAGTCGTCATTGCCCATAACGGCGGACGACGACGACGACGACCACGGCGACGTCGACGACGACGGCGACGACGACGACGACCACGACGACGGCGACGGCGACGACGACTACAACGACAATGACGGCGACCACAACGACCACGGCGACCACGACGAAGACGACATGCGTTCTCGCCACATCGCGGTCTACTGCTTAACTCTTGCTCCTCTGCCGAAACAGCATCAGCATCCTCACTCGCCTCCTCCTTCTGATCCTCCTGCTCCTCCCCCCTCCTCGTTTTCCTCCCCCTTCGCATCTTCACGTGACTTTCCCTCGCGTTCCCCCCTTTCACCCTCCCAGGGGAGCCAGGACAGACCACGGCAGCCGTCTGGGTACCACTGCATTTATCAAGAATCGCGCGCTTCCCACTCCATGTGCCCGAGCGGCAGAGGTTGCCGACGCTATAGGGCAATTGCCGCCAGCATGATTGGAACACACCCAAGCAGGTTCGACATCCACACTGCCGTGAAACAAATCAACAAGACGATCATTCAGACTGGTCTGCAGACGGCAACGCTCAAAACGGATCATTTAGTGGCATTCGCCTTTCAATGTTGGCAGCGTGCGCAAGCGCGCTCCATGGGCCAGGCCATTGATATGCCATACTTTGGCTTGCGCGCCCAATGGCAGAATTGGGAGGCGGACGCCACTTAATGCCCGGGTGCTCTTTCAACTTAATCACTTAATGCCCGGGTGCTCCTCCAATTTGATCCTTCACAGTGCCGCTGGCGTAGGCGGTTCCACGTTCTGCCGCGCGACTTCTTGCCCACTGTCGGATGGCTAACATGCACCGCGCAACGCAGACGAGACGTTCTTCCGCAACGTTGACAGGCGGATGTCAGTTGGTGCGACGGGCCCCGCCTGTTCTGATTCGGTACCTTTCATGTGCCACTTTTGTCAAACACTTTTTTTTCACTGGGATGTAGGGGTGACGAGGCCACCCACCGCGCCAGAGTGGCCCGTCGCTAACCCCCAGCCCCCAACCAGCCAACACCAAACATGTTGGTCCCCGTCCGAGGGCACAGCTTCCCCGCGCCTCCTCCTGCAGAGGACCCGCAGTCCGAGCGCCTCCGCGTGGTCGCGAGATTGGAATCCTAATTGAGCAAAGCCTGACGAGGAGGCGCACTGGAGAGGACGAGGGGGAACCACACAGCAGCCAGGCGGGACGGACGATGAAACGTCCCTTCCCCAGGGGCAGCTCTGCGTGGCGGATCCACTTCTGATGGCCCCGGGGCGCGATGACGCGCCTCGGGGGAAGAAGTCTGGGAACAACACTAGGGATTGACGGAGGAGGAGGAGGAGGAGGAGGAGGAGGAGGAAGAAGTCACACGGTTGGAGATCTGGGTCCTCACCGAGACGGGTGGGCGGGGCCAGCACGGCCGGGGACTGGGCGGGGCATCCTTCAGCTCGCGCAGCCTCGCCATCTGCTCCAGGAGCTGCGCCTGGGGCGCGGGCGGTCCTAGGGGGCGCCTCCTCCTCCTCCTCCTCCACCTCGCCTCCTCCTCCTCCTCCTCCTCCTCCTCCTCCTCCTCCTCGTCCTCCTCTCTCTTTTCCTCTCCTCTCCTCCCCTCTCCACTCCTCGCCTGTCCTCGCCTCGCCTCGCCTCTCCTCTCCTCTCCTCGCCTCTCGTCTCCTCTCCTCTCCTCTCTCCTCTCTACAACTACGGAATCTGGATACTACTCTCCTCTCTCCCCTGAAATTGTCCGTCAGATGTCCCGCCCCCCTCTGTGTCCTACCCGCTTGTCCACACAGATTGGGCCGAACTGGTTTCGCCTGTTTTCACATCCCGCTTGCCTTCGGTGTTTCGAACATGGGGCTCTCGCTGCAGCGTGGGCCCCCGGCCATCGCTCGGACGTCCATTCCCTGTGCTTTCTTCAGTTTCGTGCATGGTCTTTTCGCCAAATGATCATGGATGCTCCTCGATGGTCCTCGCCGAAGAACAATACACACGTCCGAGCGATGCCAAGGCCCTCAATTTCGGATCAGAACGGCGTTCTCGCGCCAACGTGGGCCCCTTTTTCTGGATACCACAGGTCTCGCGAACCCCACAGACCTCGCAAAAGTCGGTCCCATGGATCCCGCAACTCCCACCGGACCCACAGGTACCGCAAGTCGCCCCACGGGTGTCACAGGTATTACAGGCCTGACAGGTTCCACAGGTCTCACAAGTGTCGCAAGTCCCAGAATTCCCACACATCCGGCAAGTCCCGCATGACTCACAAACCCCGCATAGGTCCCGCAGGTCCTCCCAGAGGTCCCACGGGTCTCGAAAATCCCACGCTTCCCACAAATTGCGCAGGTCGTCGCGGAGGCTTGGACGGTCTTGGGGCCCTCTCGGGGTTCCCCTCGGCCCTCTTGGTGTCCTCCTACGGCTCAGCGGGGCTCTTGGGGCCATCTTGGGCCCCATGTTGGCCGTCCTGGGGCTCCGTGTGGTCGTCCTGCGGCCCTCCTTCTGCCGTCTCAGGAGACCTCCTGGGCCGCCTCGGGGCAACCGCGGAGGCCTCAGAGCCGTCTTCGATCCAGCTGTTGGCCCGAAAGGGCGATAATCCCAAACACGATGGAAGCACTGAGGACAAACAGTGTGTGTGTGTGTGTGTGTGTGTGTGTGTGTGTGTGTGTGTGTGTGTGTGTGTGTGTGTGTGTGTGTGTGTGTGTGTGTGTGTGTGTGTGTGCGTGCTGCCTCCAAGCCGTTTCGGGAATCCTCTCGAGCGTCTCGTGGTCTGCCCTCGGAGCATCTTGGCCCGTCTTGGAGGCCTGGGTCGGCTTGCGGCCCTCTTGGGTCATCTTCGGGGTCCCCTCTGGCACTCGTGGGCTTTCGGGGGGCGGGGGGGGGCCTCCTTGGGCCCTCCTCGACCCATCTTAGGACTCCCTGTGGCCGCTCCGGAGGCGTCTTGGGCAGTCTTAGGGCCTGCTTCGGAGCCTCCTCGGCCGTCTTGGTGCAGCCTCGGAGCCTCGGAGGCCTTCTGTGGCGCTTGTGTGGTAGAAATAGCGGCACCTGAAAGATCTCATAGAGGCCTCGTAGATGCTTCTTAGAAGCCTCTAAGAGGCTTCTTACAGGTTTCTTAAAAGCCTCTTGGAAGCCTATTCGAAGCCTTCTAGAAGCTTCCAAGATGCTTCTAAGAAACCTGTAAGAAGCCTCTGGGAGGCTTCTGAGAGGCCTCAAAGAAGCCTCTTAGAAGTCTTCGAGGCTTGACAGAAACTTCTAAGGAGCCTCCAGGCGACTTCTTCGGAAGCTTCGTATAGGCATATTAGAAGCCTCTCGGAAGCCTCTAAGCGTCGTTTTAGAAGCCTCTTGGAAGCCTCGTAGCACCTCGTAGAGGCCTCTGGGAAGCCTCTTAAAAGCCTCGTATAGGCTTCTAAGACACCTCTAAAAAGCTTGCCTCTTAGAACCCTCTTAGAGGCTTCTCAAAAGGCCTCTTAGGAGCTTCTTAGAGGTCTCTTAGAAGCCTGTATGACGCCTTAACGATGCCTCTCTGCGACGAGTCGGTTTTCCTCACGTTTAAGAAGTAACCGGGGAATGAACCAATTTGACCGTGGAAAACTCCACTCCAATGGTGTATATACCATCAAATTGGTGTTGACAATTCGACTCCTCCTCCACCTCCCTGCAACGGCAGCGTACGAGGAGGAGGCCATGGGTGGAGGAGGAGGAGGAGGAGGAGGAGGAGGAGGAGGAGGAGGAGGAGGAGGAGGAGGAGGAGGGGAGGAGGAGGAGGAGGAGGAGGAGGAGGAGGAGGAGGAGGGGAGGAGGAGGAGGAGGAGGAGGAGGAGGAGGAGGAGGAGGAGGGGAGGCGGAGGGGGGAGAAGGAGGGAGGGAGGAGGAGGGAGGAGGAGGAGGAGGAGGACGAGGAGGAGGAGGAGGAGGAGGGAGGAGGAGGAGGAGGAGGGGAGGGGGAGGGCGGAGGAGGAGGGAGGAGGAGGAGGAGCGAGGAGGAGGAGGAGGAGGACGAGGAGGGAGGAGGAGGAGGAGGAGGAGGAGGGGGAGGAGGAGGAGGAGGCGGAGGAGGAGGAGGAGGAGGAGGAGAGAGGAGGAGGAGGAGGAGGAGGAGGAGGAGGAGGAAGGAGGAGGAGGGAGGAGGAGGAGGAGGAGGAGGAGGAGGAGAGGAGGAGGAGGAGTGAGGAGGAGGAGGAGGAGGAGGAGGAGGAGGAGGAGGAGGGGAGGAGGAGGCGGCGGAGGAGGAGGAGGAGGAGAAAGAGGAACTTTGCTCGCCGAGGCAGCCATGCAGGCGCCCGGCACACCCGACCCTGCTCCCAGCGCGCCAAGGCGGGTCCCTGGCCCCCGAGGTCGCCCCAAAAGAGGCCCCGAGGAGCCTCGCACGACGGCCCCAAGAGGGCCCCAGGACAGCCCAAGAGGCCCCCAAGAGGCCCCCAAGACGGCCCCAGAGGCCTCCAAGACTGCCCTACATCGGACCCCGACACAACCTCCGAAGGCCAATAGGTCCCATAGTGGCCCCCGGAAGCCCCTAACAGGTCCCGAAGAGGCCCCAGGAGAACCCCAAGAGGCACTAGGAGGCCCCCGAGACGCCCCTAAGAGGCCCTGTGAAGCCCCCCGGAATGCTCCCAGGAAGACCCCATGAGGCCTCGAGAGGGCCTTGGGAGGCCTCCTCTTTTTCCTTATCCTCCTTCTCTTCCCTCTCCTCCTCTTTTCTCTTCCTACACCGTTGTTCCCCCAAGGGATTCCACAGTGGCTGGGGACACGCGTAGTCCAATAGCTTGGCCAGACCTCGCCCCAACGTTCGGCCGCATGGGCGCTTCCAAAAGTCAGGGGGCGGCGGTGATTCGCCGTAAGCGTCTTAGACACAAGGGTCCCATGATTGGCGGCGAGCCGGGGGGGGAAGTGAGAAGGGGCAAGACTTCTCAGAAGGCCCGGATGTCCTCCAGTCTTCTCAGAAAGCTCGGACATTTTCTGAGCTTCCCTGAGGGTACGGAACACTTCTCGAAGGCTCGAGGGCTTCTGAGAGGCCCCGACGCCTTCTGAAAAGGCCTTCTCCTTCTCACTTCCCCCCCTCGCTCGCCGCCGACACGATGCGCTACCCGATACGATCGGACCTGGGACAAATGAGCATCGTTCAAGAACATGAGACCCTCCGCCGGCCCAAACGCCTCAAACCGTAAGACCACTCGAGGGTACCCCCCCCAGGATGCACAAGACCACACAACACGCACGAAGACAACGAGGCTACCATCCCCAAGCCGCTCTCGATCGTATGCCTCGGTCCGACCGTAAGACGCGCGGCGGCAAATGGCCTCCTTCTCACGGGAGGGCGGTGCCACCCGACCGCCGGCAAGGGGGCGCAAGAACGCAAAGGGGCCCCCGGGGACACACACAAGCAGGCAGACACACACCCCAGGATCCCCCATCTTCTCGCACATCTTCTGGGCTCGCGTCACCACCCCCACCTCCCACATCCTCCCGTCTCTTCCTCTCGCCGTCGCTCGGACGCCCACTTCCCGTGCATTTGTCGGTTTCGTGCGTGTGTGTGTTGTTTGCTCGTGGGCCGAGGATGGTCCTCAATGGTTCTCGCCGAGAGAACATGCACACGTCCACGCGAAGCCGGGTCCTTGGGATCGACGGTCGGCTGTGTCTGTGTGTGCTTCGCCCCCTCCCGAAGACGACGACGGCCCCCGGCGCCGGCCACGGGCCGCGCCTCGCGGGCGGCGCTCTTGGCCGTGCCGGCGCGCAGCCGGGCGATCTGGTCCTGGGGGGCAGGAAGTGACCACCTACCAGACCACCCCAACCCAACCCGAAGACCCCGATTTCGGGTTGGGGGGGGGGTGCGGGTTCCATATGTGTTTTTTTTCTCCAGTGCTCCCCGACCCCCCCCCCAACTGGAAATGGAGGGCAAATTGAGGCCTTCGGGTTGGGTTGGGGTGGTTTGGTGGGTGGTGAGGAAGGGTGCCAAGAGGGGCTCGGCGGCGAGCGAGGGGGGGGGGAACGAATGAGGAGAAGGCCTTCTCGGAGGGCGGCTGGACTTCTCCATGATCCTCAGAACGCGTGCCAGCGCCAACGTGTGCTGGTCCATCGGAAGCCCTCACTACGACGCACGTGGCGTATCGATGGCCGACGCAGGCTGGACTGGGTTAAGACGCATTGGGCTAACACGCGTCCTGGGACTTGGCGGCGAGCGAGGGGGGGAAAATGAGTACTGGGAGGTCTTCGTCGGAAGGATTTAGGAGGATTAAGCCCCATTGGGGGGGCAGCTGCGCCAGATAAGGCCGCGAACTAAGGAGGATTAAGCGGGGTCAATCCGGATCAAGCAAGATGAAGTCTGATTGAGCTGGACTAAGTTGGCTGGGGTCAACCCCAAGTCAGACCGTAGCAACCTCAGAAATTCACCTCCCAGGAGTTGCATCCGGGAGTTGAGAAGGACAAGGCCTTCTCAGAAGGCGGCCGGACTTCTCAGGAGCCCCTGCGCCTTCTGAGAAGTGTTTGCTTCACTTCGGGGGAGGCTAAGAAAACTTCGCAGAAGGCCAGGGGGCTTCCGAAACTTCTGAGAGGGCCTTCTCCTCCTCACTTCCCCCCTTCGCCCGCCGCCGAGAGACCCATGACGGGGGCCCATACGATCCCTCCTCGATCCTCTCCGAACGCGCTGAGGGTGCCAATAGTAGGCAAGCGCGCTCCACTACTCGCAAAGGGGCTACTCGCAAATGGCCCAGATTCGCCGCGGGGGATAATACAAAAAGAAAGAACAACAAACATCCACGGTCGAAGACCTGTGAAGCATGGGCAAAAAGGTTGAATGGAGGAGATCGCCACTGAGGCAAATCCCCCCGCAGCACGAGTCCGACGACCCCGAGCTCTCCCCGCCTTCGCGAGGGCTCGGGAAAGGGGCCCGCATCGGCCCCTCCACCTGCGTGGGGGGCCGGGGCGTGCGGCGACGCAGCGGGAACAACCCCAGCAGGGTCCGCAGCGGCGGGCCCCTCTGCGTCCACGCGCCTGCCGGGGCGGGAAGGACCCGAGCCAAGCCTGGAACAGCCACCTCCCGCCCGAGAGGAGAGGGTGGGGCCTTGGGGGGGGGGGGGGCGGCCTCCGGGTGCTCACCGCGCTCCTCCCCCCCCGCCCCCACGGCAGTGGACCCCGCCCACGCTGCTCCAAGCAGCGGCACGCTTCCCGCGCCACGTGCCGGTGGCGTCCCCCGCCCGAGGGCCCGCGGCCCTGCCAAAGGCAAGGGCCGACGGCGGCCCTCGGAGGGGAGACCGCGGCACGTGGAGGGCCCACGGGCCGGAACACGGCCGCTTCCTCCGGAGAAGAGGTCGGGCGGCCACCGCAACTGCCAGCGGAGGCGCTGAAAGGGGCGACTGCGACAGCCGCCTGCCCAGGCTCAGCCCGCGCGGCGGAGCCCGCCCCTGGCCCTGGGCCAAGCAGGAAGTCCGCCGTCTCTCCGTCGGATGGGCACTCGCTTCCCCGGGGCGCAACACCCGCGGCTTGCAGCTCGATGGAGCAAGGTCCCGCCCCTCCCGTCCTGGGTCCAACCGACTCCGATGCCCGATCCATTACGTCGAAAGAGCGATGTGTGTTTGTTGTTTGAATTCGTATAGATATATGTATATATATATATATGTATGTATATATATATATGAATACAAATAAATGTATGTTTTTTGATCCGCGGGTCGAGAGCGCACCTGTTCCAGTCGAAGCTAGACGGGCCGCGCACAGCTTTGATTAACAAGAGGGGGGGGCAGAAGGAGGGGCCTCACGTCAAGGCCAGGAGGGGGCAAAGCCCCGGAATCAGGCGGTGCCGAAGACGAAGTGCTTGCAAAGTATCGCCCGCCGCCGGCGGGAACAGGGTCGGGTGTGCCGGGCGCCTGCATGGCTGCCTCGGCGAGCAAAGTTCCGCTTTCTCCTCCTCCTCCTCCTCCCCCTCCTCCTCCTGCTCCTCCTCCTCCTCCTCCTCCTCCTCCTCCTCTTCCCCCCCCTCCTCCTCTTCCTCCTCCCCCTCCTCCTCCTCCTTCTCCTCCTGCTCCTCCTCCTCCTCCTCCTCCTCCTGCTGCACGGTGGCTTAATTAGCGTTTCGTACGTCCTGCCAACGCCATACCGCCAGCGCAGTGACCCTGCCAAGCCGCGCACGCAAAAAGTGTATTTGGTACCGGACGTTTGCGAGTAGGCAGTTTGCGGGTAGTGGAACGCGCTCGGTGAAAGAGGGGCCCAAGAGTGGGCCAATACGACCCCTCCTCGATCCTCCCCGAGGGCGCTCCCGAAACGGGAGGATCTTGGAGGGGTCCTTTGGGAGTCCTCAGGGTCCCAAAAAGGCGCTGCGCATATTCCGTGAGCCAGAAGCGGGTACAGAACCAAAAATTGTTATGCCCGACAGGTGCTGCCAAAGAGCCGACACGGGCCGCTGTTGGGCAGACGGCCTCCGGCCTCAAGCGGTCAACGTCCGCGGCGACGCCTGCAGGTAAGTCTGTTTGGCGGCGCGCACAATGGGGTAGGGAGGGAGGGGGGAAGGCTTGTCAGAAGGAGGCTGCTTCCTAGAACGCGCCAGCGTCACATCCATAGATGAGGCTCACGCCTTCCCAGAAGCCGCCTCCTCCTAAGAAGCCTCCCCCCCTCCCAAGTACCTCCCCCCCCCCGCGCGCGGCCGACCTGTTCAGAGTGGACAGGGACTGCGGTCGGTCTGCGCGCTCGGTATTCCCGTACCCAGGTCGATCGTGCCGATGATAGGGAACCGCGCTCTCTACACCGACGTTTTTTTTTTGTGCGGCCCTGCACGGACTTTTTGCGCAAGAGAGCGGAGCCTGGTGTAGACGGGACCCTGGTGTATACATTGTCTCATGGTTCCTGGGAAAGCGGGGAACAAATAGACACTACACAACCCCGACGCCGTCCCCGACCCTCGAAAAGTCCTGGGATTGGAAGACGGCCCGCCAGTGGTAGTGTATAAGCTCAGATTTCCGAGATGAATTGAGCAGGGACCGACCGTCCCGGCATTCCTGTAGTCCTACCACGAAATATTCATAGAAACCACAAATGTTCCAAGAACAAAAACACTGCTCTTAGAAAAGAAACCCGATGTGTTCAAACAAGACAGGCTCCGCTAGAAATGCTCTAAGAACATCTCGTGGGAACCACAGAAGGTTCTCAGAACATTGCTTGGTGGGGCTATAGGCGAGCCAGGACGCTTCGCCACTGCTTGAATTATGCACCCCTTTCGTTCGTGGCGACCTGCCCCCCTGAGCGGGTCACCTTGCCTTAAGTCGGGCACCCCAAAAATACTCCGAACTGGTCAAAACATCAAAGGGCGGCGCCGACCGCGCCGCGCCTCCGGGGGGACCAAACCTGGGCGCGCAAGCCGCTGCTCCTGCTTCGTTTTCGGCCACCTGGGGACCCCTCTGCGCCCGTACCAAAGGTCACTCCGGCGAAGGGTCACTCTTACGTCTAGCCGACATGGGCGAGCCAGGACGCTTCGCCAACCCCGACGTCGTCCCCGACCCTCAAAAAGTCCTGGGATGGGACGACGGCCCGCCACTGGTAGCGTACAAGCTCCAGCTCCCGAGAGGAAGGGAGGCCCCGACCGCGCCGCGCCTCCCGGGAGCCCGGCTCCCCCCCCCCCCTGCAGCGCGCGGCCTGCGCCCGACCGGCGCTGCAGAGCCGTCGGAGGCCGGCGCCCGCTCGGCGTCGAGGCTTGAAAGCCAGGGGGGCCGCACGAGGCGTGCGCCGCGCCGCCGGGCTGCCCGCCGCGGGGCCAGGCCCCCCCCCATACATACATATATATATATATATATATATACACACACACACTTGTGGATGCCATGACATTACAGATGCGTGTAAAACATGTGATAACAATGTTTAAAACCTGCTTTGAACATATTTGAAAAGTGTATGAAACATCTTTTAGACATCTGAAAAATATGTGGCAGCATGCTTCCCAGATATCCGCCGATCCGGCGTGTAAGTTTCTGAGAGCGTGGACTTGAGCTCGCTCAAGCTTCGCTCTGCAGGGGGGGGGGGGGGGGCGCACGCTGTTTCCGACGTCGTTTCCGACGTGTTTCGGTACACGGGGATATCTCCGACATCATTCCGACGTTCTTCGGCACCCGGGGACAAGGGGGTATAGCAAACTCCACTTCCGGAGCCCCCCCGTATCGGCGGCACTGGCCGGAGGCCAGCCCAATATAGTTGTGGATGCCATGGCATTAAAGATGCGTGTAAAACCTGTTATAGCAATGTTTGAAAACCTGCTTTGAACATGTTTAACACATGTTTGAAACACCTTTGAGACATCTGGAAAGTATTTGGCAGCATGCTTCCTCTCCATGAATCGACTTCCATATATATATATATAGAGAGAGAGAGAGAAAACAAAAAAAAAAAAAGCAGGGGCTCGCACGCATTGCCTCGGTGGAGAAGGGCATCGATGTGGCGGCACCCGAGCCCTACCTACCCCCGCCGCCCATCGAGCTGCCTGAGCCGTTCGTTGGCGAGGGCGGGGTTCGGGATTTCGCCGCCGAGCATCCGCGGCGAGCCCCGGGGGGCAAGCGAGAGGGAGCAGGCCGTTGCAGCACGCGGCGGCGCCTGCCAGAAACCCTTTGCGCCTTCCGGGGAGCCTCGCAGGCCTGCTCCTAGATTCATGGCGGGAGGGTAAGTTGGAAGTCGCGGGAGCTTCGGCTCGTCTTGAATGGTATCTGATTCTACGAGTATAGATACATACACACACATACAGGACTGCATTGGCGCTTCGCGCCATGCGCCTTG